GCTTTCTTTTCCTTTATAGCCTTCTTCCTCCTGAACCTTTTTCTGCCTGGCCTTTCACAATAGTTTCGAGATTCCTGTCGGGGAGTTTTGAGGTCACGTAGAAAATATTCACTAACTTCAGCTATTGGGAGTGGTTCCTACAAAGAGGAATTAAATGACATTAAAATTCTATTTAGCACATGTTTTGTCTATTACTCATGTAAATGTGAACACAAAGTGAATTACTTTCCCAAAAGAGCAGATGTTTCCCAGATTTCCCAGAAGAGATATTTTGCTGTATGGGACACAACCCATGAAAGAGAAAAGTGCAAATTTTGAATATTTTGGAGAAACTAGCCAATTTGGCTGTTTCACTGCTTCATCCAGCTGTCACATCTATTACCATAAATTGAAGGGTTGAGTGCCACAATCAATTTTACTAACCAAATGCCGGATCACATTCAGATGCTCCGGGTGTGCTGAAGGAAGATGTGCTAGATTTCACGGTTTCTTCACTTTCAACGCTTAGTCCTTATCGATGTTTTACATTGCAATTGATTAACAATTTTTGCCCAAGTTTCACGCTAATCCGAATCTTCAGCGCATCCTTACAAAGAGTGGTTGTCACAGTGTATTTGAGGCTTCTCTTTGCAGCCTTCTTGTGGCACTTGAAGAGATCTGAGCACTTCATCTGATTCCGTCCAAATTGGAGGTATTTCCTGTTATGGTATTATGGTATATGAACAATATTTCAATGTCACCAGCACGACACAGTGCGCATTTTCCCCAATTCTTTGTCACTGGCACCGAGACAGGTGAATGCTAAAATGCCATGGTGCTCAGCAGAGGAACTGCCCTGATGTATTTGAGTGTAGTGGAGCATTCATGTACCACAAGTCAGCCCACATTGATAATGTTGGGGCAACAAATCAATTCGAAATTGAGTTTTCTGAAATTAATGCACCAAAAAACGAAAAATGTAAAGCACAACTTTACAAATATCTCGAGACTGGGGCAAAACATCCTCCTGAAAATTTGCGAGCTTCATCACCATGTTATTCTCATGTTATCTTGTAAATTTGGTGAAATTTAAACATATATTTTTTATATGAAGGGTCAAAGGTCAAACGCCTTTGATTTTTTAAATATAAAACGAATATGAATATGAATATGAGGCGGAAATGAAATGTACAATATAGAGATGCAAGAGACCTTTAAAAGTAGTCCTGAATGAACATTCTATGACAAAATAACTAAGGAGTTATTGGAGAAAGTCTGATAGAAGTCAGCCTGACCAGCTAAAAAAGGTCAACATTTTGTGACCTCGCCACGGACTCACTTTTGGTCAGAAAAAAAAATAGATATTTTTTATTTCCCGCTTTTGGACCAAACGCTACCTCCTCGCCAAATTTCAGCCAAATCGCTGACGGTCGACCTAGAAATCATGGGAAAATTGGTCGATCTGACATGGAATCACCCAAGGACCTTCGAGGGGTAAAAAAAAATACCATACCTGTGTTGGATCATGTTACGGAGCATTTGATAATTCAGGAGCATGTAGTTTAGGAGATTTTGATGACTAATAGCGAGGGAATGGTCTGGACAAAAGCCACGAAGATGGCTTTTGTCCGGACAAAGTGGCTTCCTTAGCTATCCTTCGCTTTTTTAGTATTCTCTTCTGTTTTCTCTCAATAGTTCGGACTCGTGCTGGCTGTAGGTTTGGCTTGATTGGCGTGATTTTCTCACAAATATAATTAGCCTAGGTGTCTGTCGTTGTCGGCTATCGCTCCCAGCACCTGGGTTGTCCTGATTAAGTTATCCCGAAGGGATATTCTTTTCATATATATATATTAATGGATTGCATAATAAAAAGTGAAGGATGGTAAGAAAACCTGATACTATATCAGGAAAACCAGTACCTAATAGCATTTGTAGGGTTCAGGGAACAAGGGTTCCATCTAAGGAGGAATCTGCAATTGGTATTGCAACTGCGGGATGGTCAGCTAAATTTTCATATGGAAAGTGTGATGTTAATGTTTGCATAACTTGATATGTACTTCACGTCAGATGGAGTGACATCTAGTTTATGTAAAATGCACGTACACTTTGGTGACGTAAATATAGGAACGTAAATTTTACGTAAGCGTGATGTCATTTTCATAGCAATCGCAATAAATTTACATTGTTTGCAAAAAAATTGAAATCTTTATGTAAACATGCTGCTTAGGATTAAATGTGAAATATGAGAAAAATAAATAAATATTCGAGTGAAATACCTCTGGTAATAAATTCGTATAGCATTAGTAGTCACTACGAGCCCATCTATTTACAGATTACGTAACTTTTACATCAAAAAGTCCCATCCACCAGGTAAAAGCGGTACCGTTCGACTCCTCTCATGAAGTAGAGACCAACGATATAATTATATCACCCGAAAGTAGCAGACACTAAACTGAAGTTGAGCCCACAGTCCTAGTAAAATCGCATGTACAGGGTCTTTCAAAGTCTTGCAACCCAATATGTGTAAAATTTTCTTGAGTAACCTACATTGAGTATCTAATCAAAACTGGCTGAATATTGAAGAAGCACATCTCATCTATGAATAAAAGTGTCATAGCAAGTGTTGGAAGTAACCACCGCCTTCCTGCAAGCACATTGCAACACGCTTGCGCATATTTGCGGAAACATGACGCAAGGTCGCACGGGTAATTCCGGCAATGGCCAAAGGATTGTTTTGCTTAAATGTATTCAAATCTCTGGGATTGTTAGAGTATAGTCTTTCCTTTAGGTATCCCCACAGGAAATAGGTGACGTCAAGTCTGGAGACCGTGGCGGCCAAAGATTCTTGCTATCACACGCTCCCCAAAGAATTCATTGAGCATCTCCATTGTTGAATTCGCGGTATGAGCGGTTGCTCCGTCTTGCTGAAACCACGAATCACGTTCGTCAGTCTCCAACATGGCGATAAATGGCTGAATGATGTCTTGATAACTTTTAGCATTTACAGTTTGTGTGAAAAACAAGGAACCAATAATACACCGTCGCGAGTTGGCACACCAAACGCCAACCTTCTGTGAGTGGAGTGGTTCTTCATGCAAAACATGAGGGTTCTCTGCAGCCCAAATACTTGAATTCTGGCTATTGACAACCACTCAAATGAAACCAGGCTTCATCCGAGAAAAACGTTATGTCTAAAATTCCAGATTGATTTTGAGTAAACCTTTGAAACCAGCGACAGTAGTGCATTCTTTTTTCCTTGTCTAGGTTTTTCAACTCTTGAACAACCTTCACTCGGTATGGATGGAGGTGTAGACGTTTTGCGCATCTATGTAGTGTCGTCACGGAAATGCCAGTCTCTTGTGACATTCTGCTGAGAGATTTTCTTGGTGACCTTGTCATTCGTTGTTGCACGTCATCAAGAATCGCGTCCATTAACACTGATGGACGTCCACTCCTTTTCTTGTCAGCCACACTGCCTGTGTCACGAAAACGCTGCACTAACCATAAAATTGTGCTTTTGTTCGGGGCTTGCACATTGTGAAATTTATGTCTGAACTCCTCCTGGCACTGTTTAAAAGATTTTGAAGCAAAATAAGCCTCCACAATCAAAACACGCTGCTGCTTCGTGAACGACAGGTTTCTTGCAGCTGGGGTTTCGCAATAAAACTGGTTCAAACCAGTTGTACGCATGCAGAGTTGCCAACCCACGCACTAAACTCATCACTCTATTCCATATCTACTTTAAAATATAATTAATGAGTAGATATTACAGTGAAATATGCAACAGCACTTGTTTATACGGAGGGTTGCGCGACTTTTGAAAGACCCTGTAGTTGCCTGAGGTAAAGGGGGCTTGACATCAACTTTAAGGAGAAATTACCTACTTTTCCATAGTAATCATATAGTAAGCTGTCTTGCACAATATATCCCACCCTCCTTTACCAGGCTGAACATGTTTTGACTTCAGCAAAACCATTCTTCGAGTAGTAATACAAAAGTGAAAGTATGAAGGAAAACTCAATGGGGAACCTTTGGAATAGGTATGAATCTGTTATTACTGTAATTGCCGATAACCTCAATTAAGCAGTGACGTCACACAATGCGAAGTTACTTAATGCAATAATGGAAATGCCCAAAATCATGAGTTTATATGACCTTAGCTTATCCTATCGGTGAATGCACACGTTTCACGTTAATTTTGCATTTACTATTTTCTACAAAATATGCCTAAACAAGGCTAGGAGCAGTTATTGAAGACATTTCTTATTGAAATTGCACAAGAGTAGAGTACTCGGGTTTTTTTTTAGAGTTTACTTTAGTTCTCATTTAATTTTTTCTGGATGTGAATGTTTGCTGCAAATTCCATTTCAGAGATGCAAATCAACAGAATATGTGCATACCTAGGAAGTTTCAAATAGATGATTTCGTAAATGCTGCCAGGAATGGTAAACATTCCGAAGGTTACTCAGTTTGTGAAATACCTGTTTTGTTGACCGGTTGCATGCAAAATCTTTTGCAGTTTCATCAGTAACTTTCAGAGAAAAACAAATATTTATATCAAACACTCGAGACCCAGGGACTCTCTAAAGTCTCTCTTAGTCACTCTAAAGTTCAACTAAGTCACATCTATATAAACATTTATGAAGGGGGTCCAGCTTGCCCCCAAGTATTGGGGCAAGTGGGAACCCCTGACCAATTTTATAAATGTAGTCATATATCAGATATAATACAATCTTAAATGTTGATATTTAGCAGTAAGATTGCGAAGAGGATGGTGATTTTATTTGTCCAATCTCATGAATGTACATTCATATTTGCAGCACCTGTACCAAATGAAAGTTGTACTATCATTAAAATGTGGTCCCACTTCCCCCAGGCAACTATACTTATGATAACCTAGTACAAATTGCGAATCCGAGTCCAAGATGAATGAACATGAATGTAAAGCGCACAATTGAGACAGTGGGTCCCAAAAATCGATGGAGACTGCCAAGTAATTTCGATTTGATTTCTTTTAGTAGAGAGACTGTCAGCTAATACAAAAAAACCTAAGAATACCAGGAAGGCCAGTGCGACAAAAAAGCCTTTACCACCAAGAGTGCAGGGACAGAAACCGTCCGTCCGGAAGACACCGAAACCGACCGTCCGGAAGACACCGAAACCGACCGTCCGGAAGACACCGAAACCGACCGTCCGGAAGACACCGAAACCGACCGTCCGGAAGACACCGAAACCGACCGTCCGGAAGACACCGAAACCGTCCGGAAAGAAGACATCGAAACCGGCCGGAAAGAAGACACCGAAACCGTCCGGAAAGAAGACACCGAAACCTTCCGGAAAGAAGACACCGAAACCGGCCGGAAAGAAGACACCGAAACCGTCCGGAAAGAAGACACCGAAACCTTCCGGAAAGAAGACACCGAAACCGTCCGGAAAGACTAGAAAACCGTCCGGAAAGAAGACACCGAAACCGTCCGGAAAGACTAGAAAACCGTCCAGAAAGACTAGAAAACCGTCCAGAAAGACTAGAAAACCGACTAGAACGACAAAGGTGTATGCTACCGAAAATGTCCCAACTGATGCCCCAAAGATAGACCCTACTGACGCCCCAACTGAAGCCCCTACTGAAGTCCCCACTGAAGCTCCCACCGAAGCTCCAACTGAAGCCCCCACTGAAGCCCCCACTGAAGCTCCCACTGAAGCCCCAACTGAAGACCCTACCGAAGCCCCCACTGAAGCTCCCACCGAAGCCCCAACTGAAGCCCCTACCGAAGCCCCCACTGAAGCTCCCACCGAAGCCCCAACTGAAGCTCCCACTGAAGCCCCTACCAAAGCCCCCACTGAAGCTCCCACCGAAGCCCCTACAGAAGCCTCCACCGCTTCAACTGACAATAGCGCCTCAACCGATAATAGCACCTCAACCAACAACAGCACCTCAACCATCAATAGCGCCTCAACCGCCTATAGTGCCTCAACCGACAATAGCGCTTCAACCAACGGAAACGCCTCCACTGATGGGAAACCCTAGACTGAGAACTACTACGCTTGATAAGTTTTGGTGAATAAAAAGCCGAACTTGATATTAAATAAATTTCCAATTGAAGTATTTCATGATATTCCCACCAAATCCTCACCTCCTAACTTATGCTTGAGTAATCAGTAAAGCCTGAAAAAAAGGGAATCGTTCTTCCTATTAGGGATATATTACTAAGTTTGAAAAGTTATGACCACAAAATCGATTACATGCCTTCCAAATTAAAATCAAGCAAATTCATAACAGAAAGGTCTCCTTCCTTAAGTTTTTACTTTCAATACTCATTCTCGGGTACGTGTGAAGAACGTACTCCCATTGAGAGAAGACACGCACGCTCGACCGCAACTTTGGAACGCCGTTCCACCCATGCACTTGCACATAGAAACAGCGTTTTCCTACCCCTGGATGCGACATGGAATATCATCAAACCAACTTCACTGTAGTATAGGGCGTTGTGGTATGCGACAAGGACAGGGAAGGGGGGTGGGGGGTTTGAGGGGTTTAGTTACGAATTCTCAGGAAAAAAAAGCCCACGAAGAGAGCGAGTCTTTCTTTTATGATGGTGTGGAGCTAATTGCGCATGGTATTATGCCATTTTATCGGAAGGATGGGGTTTCGTTCGTCTCAATCCAAATGGATAGATGAAGTAATGTGAAAACCAATTTTCAATCGCTTTCCCTTTCTTCAACCTCCTCCTCCCCCCGTCTCTCTATGGGACTTCACTAACGTTAGGCCTAGGCCTAACCAACAGACTGCCTTCAGGTCACGTACATTTTCCTTTTCAAAAGAAAGTCAATTCTCAACTTACGGCGCCAATTAGGCTTGTAAGGGTGAATCGTAGTCTTCAGACATCTGGTTAAGGGCGTGTAACGTTAGGCCAATCGCAGACCTATTCATTCGTTCAAGTACCATTTCAGAGTGGACGTGTAACGTTAGACCGATTGGAGGCCTGTTTCGCGTTTCATGAACCATTTCAGTGGTACGTGGAACGTTAGGCCTATCAGGAGTTCATCGAACCATCTCGAATAGATCTGAGGAGAGAATACCCTCAAGCAGCATGGAGTCCATGGTACGTGCCATCCTGTTAATTCAGGGATGTCCGGATAAGATATCTGCATATCCCACCACATCGATCAATAACAGCTAACCCCGCTTCATTCTCAACTCATCTCACGAAATCAGCATAAACATGTCTCATACATAAAAACAGAAGATCCAGACGCCAATACGGAGGTTGAAACAGTTTTGAATCTGGCATAATTTCGGCGCGATATCCGGCAACACTGCGGGACGGTACTGGAGGAAACTCTAAGCCTAATTGAACGACAGTTAATTTCTTTTTTTTTTTAATAGCGAAATGGAGCATCACAAACAGCAAAAAAGCCACTTTTCGTCATCTACGGGTCAATATCTTTCTTATGGTTGGTCTCTTTCCTCCGAAACCCCCCAGGAGTGGCAACCCAGCAGGGGGAGAAAAAAAAAACTGAATTAAATTCATATCCTCTAAAAACGAGATTCAGCGTTCTCCACAATCCCGGGGAGATGGAGCTTCAAATTTGCTGGAGCGAATCTGTGGTGAGAGAGGAAGAAATATGCCAAATTTCATTCCTGTTGATGCTCTCAGAGAGGAATACGAGGAGGTTGAATTTTGCGGCGGGAAGGGGTTGAAGAAACGTAATAGGCGCTACCGCGCCTATTGATTTGGTAGGTGCGCCCAGGAATAATTAAAGTTGCAGGGAGGATTCAAATTATGGGTCTCGGAACAAAAGAAATCATCATGGAAGACAATCCATTTCATCATAGTGCATGGCCGCACGTTTCATATTGGTATCGAGTGCTTAGGCTCACTGAGCACTCACTGAGGCACAGTCGAGGCGCAAGTGTACCCGTAAATGAATCATGGTCATAGAGTCCGGATTAAATACATTCATGTGACTTACAAGAAGGCTTCGGATTTCCCCGGCCAGTGGGCGTCACTGGAGATAGGATATGTTATGCACCAGATCCGTTTAACTTTAAACTGATTCGTTTTCATAATGGGCGTCTATGGGAATAAGTTTATCTCCTTTAAACTGACTCCCATAGAGGAACAATGTGAAATCACATTAGTTTAGCTAAAACGGATCCGGTGCATGTCACCCCTGTCGATAAGGTACGAGGGGCGGTACGAAGCAAATGCTCATTAATTTTTAAATTCTGACTCATGCATGGAAGAACGACGAAATTTTTAATTCAAAAAGGTTCCAGTCTTCCGCTCTTACCGTGCAACTTTCATGGGATATCACATGATAGCCGCACCAATACACGTTATCAAAACGGCTGCTACAATGGAAGTGCTAAAAAGCAATGAAAAGAAATTCAATTCCTAGCCAAGGAGGAAGTTTCACCTACAGGAATCCATAAGCGACTGAAAAATGTCTATGGTGCATCTGCCGTTGAATGAAGCACTGTAAGAAGGTGGGCAAGCCGCGTGAAGGCAAAGGAAACAGATCTGCAATATAGGTCACGTAGCGGTCGCCCTGCCAAGGCAGTGACACCAGAGATGTTGTGAGGAATGGATGAGCTGATTCCCGGCGATCGACGTATCATGACAAAGGAACTGAACGAAATCGTTAGTGGCATCTTGCGCCATCAGATTATCACCTCTTTGGTCCTCTCAATGATGGAGTACGAGGACAAAACTTAAAGGACGACAACCCCGGCAGCATACAACGGTGGGCCTACATTGGCTGCGAGAGGGGGAGCTTGGGCCGACATCGCAGAGGGCTGCCAATGTAGGCCCAACATCAGCACAAGGGCGGCAGCTAACATCTGTCATGTCTCAGGATGAGACATCTATCTCAGTTATTTGAACAAAAAGCTTCCCACAGAATAAGAGAGATGGCGATTATGCATCCGCTATTTTAGTAGGATCAGGGAATTATTGATTACTTTAAGACCCCAGGACCTTTCTTGCGGTACTTGATCCATTTCCATAGAGAACGTAAAGGAAGACACTAGAATTTCTTAGTTCAATTGTTTAAACATGTTAAGCAGTCCAAACAGACTCTAGTTAATCGTGGTGGAAGCATGATTCAAATTGGGGCTTCACTCGATACACGGAGGATAAAAACCATCATCTTTTTTTTATTGTGGGAGCTGCGGTTGGTTCCCTCGGGAAGTTCGGGCGTGATTAAAAATATGACCACCCAAGTCTTGCCGGACTAGCACTTCCCTAGCGGATGATGGGCCTACTGGGTGATTAGTGAAATCACATTGGGGCTCGAATCCAGTTATGGAAAGTGAAGGCCTCAAAAGATAGCATTCGAAGGAGGTTCTACTCTCTGGAGTACTTTCAGTCAGACTGAGAGAGACTCGGTTGCAAGGTCCCCGGTAGGGGAGCCGACCCATGATGTACAAATACAGAATTTCAATCGAAGCCTCCTTAAATCCCTAGAATGTCATGGCGCACGTTGGCATTTGACGTTGGCCCAACATTGGGCAGCGGGAAAAGCCCACGAGGGACCAGTGTAGGGAAGAAACGATGCGCCCACATCGCAAACGTCGAATTCTAACGTCGGCCCAACGTAGGTGTGCTGCCGGGGATATTGGGCTTCCAAAGTACTGCGTCGGTCTTGAAAGTACCAAACGCCAAACGCCATGAACGAAAAAATTTCAGAATATTCCATCTCAGTTTTGATCATTCCTTAATTTTCCTGCTGAGCTGCTTATCTTTTTCTGTGCCCAAATAATTGTGCTGCAAATTCCGCGATGCACTGTTTTCCCATTTTCCCATCCGATGGTGACATTGGGAACGGCATGCTAACACTATTTGCAAAGGAAAAAGAAAGCTCGACAGCCAAATCCCGAAACGGATAAAATCGAGCGGATCGACGCCCGCAATTGCAATTTAAACAAAAAGCGGGGTCGCAACGCCCTGAGAAGGCACAGACGGCGCCCGCCGCATCGATCCCGCGCTCCGGCATCCCTGCTGCACTCTGGCATCCCTGCTCCTGGATGTCACCGCGACGAGGCGACCCTGCAGTCACGCTAGACACGTGGCAATCATTAACGGGGAATCAACACTGTGTCCTCATAGCTTGCATGCGTGACCAAGCTTTGCTCTCGACACACGAACTGCAGTGTAAAGAACCGATGCTCGATTCTTCCGGGTGGAAGAAAAATCACTAACATCGAAGGAATTCTCACAAATACTGTGAGACCCTTTGAAGTAGGTGGATTCATTTTGACAGAAGAATGTCTCAGGCTGCAGGGTTGCTAAGTGGATTCAGGAAGTGGCACACCTGGCACCCCTGCATGCTGCCCGACTCCAACACTGACCGAACCATTTCTGCACCGAAAAACTACTCAAGTGAGCTGGCTCAGCTACTTCGATTTTTTTGTTCGCCTTCTGAAGACGAATAATGAATAATTTTCGCCTTGCCTTTCGCCATGGGCCACGTCTGCTGAAATGTCTGTCTGTCTTCATTCCTCCGCATTAATAATCCCCCATTCGGCACAACAACGTTGGGTCGACATTCAGAAAAGGTCGAAACGGTGAGACTTGGTTGAAGTTGAGAATCCGACGAAAAAGCAACATCGATGAAATGCTAGCCATTCGCAATTAACCGTATTTTCAGCATTTGGCGACTTCTCGTGAATTAGGGAAGTCGTTCAGAGGCTATTAGGAGCGAATTCGCTTTTTCATCGTATTCTCAATGTTGTGCCGACGTGAAGTTGCCCATATCATATCGACAGAAAATAGGTTCTACGAAATCGACGCGAGATGGCGCCTAACCGCCGATTCCGCGATTCTTACCCTGATGCCCTGAAATAAACAGTACCTTGCATTTTTCATACAGCACACGATCGTTTCCCATTTACAACATAAGGGAAGGTATAGGATTTTCTAGATAGACCTGTTTAAGGAGGTAATTCGGCAGAAGGGGACTCAAAGTACTACTGGCCAGTGGGTCCGAGGAGACATGCTCAACTTTTCTAAATATTCCATGTGC